TCTCCCACCCAAATCTGGAGTCCTTTTAATCCACAGTTCCTTGATATTGGAGTCACTTGCCTTTTTCAGGAACAACACAAGACCCCTTCCCCTGTATTGACTGGAAGAAAAATTAATCCTTAACACAAGCTCTAGTCATTTTCCATAAATGTGAAACACCAGCATGGTGTCATCACCCCCCTACTCTGTCCAATACATTCTCTTCGGCTACTTGTCCCTGTGCAAAGCTAGCATATGAAGGAATCTCCATCACCACACCACTGCTCCCCCAAATCCATCCCCACGCCTTCAAGAAAGGCTTGAGTTCCTGGGATATGAGTTTGTGAGTGCACTAGGCTTTCTCCCATCTCTGTAATCACCTCTCCCAACTGCCGCCATCCCCAGGAAGAGAGAAAAGAAGGCTCGAAAAGAGGTTGACAGGACAATAAAAATGTCAGGGCCTTTCCTCTCTGCTCCCTTCTCTCTCCCTCCATCCTCTCCTGCTCTCTCCCTTCATCCCTCTCCCCCTTCCACCCCCTCCCCTCCTTCCCTCTGCTGCAAACTCCGCTACGAAGCGGCATTTGGGGTATGAGGCAGGAGAGGTTAATTATTGCTCCCCAGCCCCTCCCACCCCCCTACAAGATGTATCTGACTGTCAGAAGGGGTGACAGATGAAGACAAAGTACAGGTGCAGCTCCCAAGGACAGGCCCTCTATGTACCAGCCAGGGGTGGGAGTGGAGGGGGGCGTGATACCCAAGTTTTAACCCCTCCAACTCCGGTCCACATAGCCAAGAAGGGGTGAGGGCAGAAGGGGGAGCAGGAGTTAGAACCTGGATCCTGGCCAGAGCAGACCGAGTCCCAGAGACCACCTGGCCTCCACCTGCCATGTTCCAGCAATCTGGGGTAGGGGATGAGAAAGAAGCTGGGACCCTGTCCCAGAGGCTGCAGAGTCAAGGTCACAAGCAATCATTCTGAGAATGTTACAGGTACAGAGAAGGGAGCTTGTGGAGCAGGGCACGTAGACTTGGGGGGCCCTGGAGCCCTAAGGAGAGGGACAATTCCACTATTCTTCCACCTCCTCCGTGACAATGCCCCTCTCACCCAAGTCTGTCTCCAGGCATCTTTGTCACGGTACTATCTGTGTGTTTGAGAAAGAGAGTTGTGTGTCTGAACTTGTGTGTATTTGCGATGATGTAACTCCTCAGGCCCAAAAGGACCTGAATACGTTGGGGTGGGGGGTGTGCATGCACAATCACACTGCTTGGAAGAGGTGTCTGTGGGTACCTGTGAGGGTGACTGTGCTGTGAGCACAGTGTGTTGAGTGTTTGTGTAAGAGAGAGCTTTTGCCTGTAGGCATGGCTGTGCTAAAGGAGTACATCTTCAGCAAAACATGGATGTGTGTTTGCAGGTACCAAGGGGTGCATCATTGGGAAGGTGTGGACAAGGTGTGCCTTTCTGTGGGTGCATGATATGTGCCAGTGTGTGGGGGTGTTGTGCACATTGATGTCGGTGTGAGTGTGAATGTGATTGTATGTGTGTGCCAGCCCAAAGTGCCGGCCTCTTCTTCTCACTGGCAGCCCTCCCTTTCCTGACTCTCCTTTCTCCATAAGCAAACGAGGTGAAATAATTACTTTTCCAACTAAATGCTCCATATTCAAGGCAGAATAAAACAAAGCAATTTAATAAAATCGTCTTTAAGAAGGAAAAGAGGAAAATAAACGTCTGCTCTGCTCCTCTCCCTGGTGCTCAGGGAGGCCCCAAGTCCTTCAAAGTTAATTAAAGCAGTAACTAAAATCGCAGAATCACTTACCAAACCTTTTCCCATCTCTGCCTTAAAGGTAAGGCAGCCCCCAGAAGCCCTGCCTCTGGCCTGCACCTTGAGGTCCCCCTGTTCTCAGGCTCAGCTTCTCCCTGGGACCAACCCTCAACCCTGACAGACGCCCAGGCCTTCCTGCAGCCGTATCTGCAGAAGGGGGCTCTGGCCTTCCTCCTCCCAAAGATTCATTAAAGGGCCTTGTCCAGCCATTTGAAGTCCTTGATGGACACTGGTCCTCATCAGAAGCTTCCGGCTCTTGCCTCCTCCCAGGACATAGCCTGCCCTCAGCCCCTGCTTGCCCTCCCCACAGATCCCCTGAGTCCCCAGCTGCTCTGAGCTTTATCTGTCTTCACTGACCCCCTGGCCTGGTCCTTAGCTCTAGCTCAGCACAGTTCTGACTGTTTCCGCCTGGTCTGTATCTGTTCCCCATCAGAGGCCCAGCCCTTCAGCAGCCAAGATAAAAGAGATGGATGGAGGTGAGTTTGGGGGACACCCCTCCCTGCAAGCCCAGAGCTAGAGCCCTAGTTCTGACAGGGGCTCCCTGAGGAGGGTTGGGTGGGAGGGTGAAGAATTCCAAGCTCTCTGGAAGCCCTGTCCCCACCCATCCCCACTCTGCCTTAGCCCTTCCTCTCTTCCTAAGGTCTAGTTCCTAAGGCCTCCTCCAGGCAGGCGCCAAGACAGCAATCATCCCTTCCTCCAAAAACGCACTTCAGCAGGAAGCCCTGTCTAGGCACCCTGTCCCCACCTCCCTGTGGCTCACCTGCCCATAAATAGTAATAGTAAAATTGACCATTTGGTGAATACCTATTATGTTCCAAACACATTACTTATAAGCTCTCCAATCTCATCACAGCCCCTGCAGAGTAAGTTTTATCACTATTTTGCAGAGGAAAACACAAAAGAAGGAAAGCTAAAAATATTGCTCTAGGTATGCACTTAAAAAGCAGTAGAACTGACATTCAAACCTGTAGGCAAAACCTTATGCCACCTCACCACCCTATCCTTAAGCCCTGGTTCTGCTCCCAAAGACCTATCATTGCCCTTCAGAGACTGCTGCCCCCCAGAACCTCACTACTCCCAGAATTTAAGCCTTTCTGACTCCAGTTCACACAGTGGGGGAGGGGCAAGGGAGCTGGAAAGCCAGAATTAGAACCTGAGTCCCTGAAAGGGCCAGCTGAGTCCAGGAGACCTGGGGGGCCCTCTCCAGCCCTGCTCCAGTGATCAGTGTTGGGAGGAGGGGGCTGGGGAAGACAAGGAGTAATTGTCCCTAGGGTTCTCAGCTCTCATCCTGGAAGACCCCATCACTTCTCATAGAAATTCTGTCTTTTCTCCAAGGGGACTCCAGGACCCATTTCAGTACTAAGTCCATCTGCCTTCCAAGGCTGCCACCAAGGGGACAGGGTGAGACTTGATTGTGGGTTGACATGTGTCACCCAAACTGACTTTCATAACTTCAACCTGTTCAGAGAGACTTCAGTAGCCCACATCACAGAGAAAATGTCAGAAAATAAATCCGGTCCAGGAACCAGCCTGTGTTTCCAGCTCCTCCTTCACTCCCTTGACTAGTGGGGATCTAAGAGCTCAACTCTGGAAAGAAAAGAGAGACTGACAGCAGGGAGGGGAGTCAATAAAGGGACAGAAATCCTGATTTTAGGGTGAAGTAGTCCAGCACAGGAGGGTGATTACAAAGGGGACAGGCGTGAGGTGTCACCACAGACCAAAAGTAAGGATGTTATCTGAAGACTTCTGGCCTTGACTGCACCTGGAAAACATGTAACAAAATGAGGGAAGAAAGGAAGAAATTATTCAGAAGCACCTTTCCTAATTTAGTCTCAAGAATGTGTATGTGGGGTGGTGGATGTTCCATGGCCATCTCCCAGGTCCAGGCCTCAGCCTTGTTCGAACCCCCTGGGCTGAGCACAAACCAGAAGCTGGTAAATGCAGCTGGGAAGGCAATGACCCAGGCGGCTGGGACAAGGCTTCATGGAGCAGTGGTATAGTGAGCCATGCCACAACCTGCCTGCCAGTGAGTCACCTAAGCCAGGCCAAGCCCTGGAGCTTGCTCTCTTCTCCCCTGCCCCCAGCACATCTGGGACCCAAGTTGAGAAGAGAGAGGACTAGAGAACAATAGGGGCCCAATTATGGAGAAGGGAGGGGTGGGAGAAAGGGAGGGGTGGCACCATCTGAGCTGGCCTCCAGGTTCCACCCCAAGATGGCTGTATCCTTGCCACCAGAGCCTCTGTCTCTGCACCCCTCCTCATCTCCATCCCTAAGCCTGCCCTCATTCCTCCCCTCTGGCCCCATCTCTATTCACCAGCCCATGCCTCCCCAGGTATCCTCAAGCTACCCTCCATTATCTGCAATTGACTCTCAGAGCTTCCATTACTACCTCCCCGACCTGACCCCTCCCAGTCTCTAAATGCCCCCATCACTGCCCTTCAGGGCACCTATTCCTACCCCAGCCTCCCAGACCCCATTACTACTCATCCCCAGACATCATCCTTCTTCCTAAGGTGCTTTGCATGGAGAGGTGAGATTTGATCTTCACTAACATTTCATTACCCTAGTGGACTTACATAGCTATTCACCATTTAGAAAGAATCTAATCATTTAGGGGGAGGCAGAAATAACAAAATATATCCTGGGAGGTAATAGCCCTATGCCTCCAGCCCCTTTCCCTCTGCTCTAAGCTGCCTGCACACTTAGAATAGAGTCCTAGGTGACAGGATCTGAGCTTTTGAGCAAAAGAAGCTCAAGGGACCTCCAAGACCACCAGCGGAATGTTTAAGCCTGTCTACCCCTCACATATACACACACAGAGCTACACACACATGTGCACATAACCCTGCAAACATACACATATATAACTAATGTAAGTATACATATGTTTACATGCACATCTTAGAATGTAAGCTCCATGAGGGCAGGAACAATGTGTTTTTCTGTGATGTATCTCACCTCCTACAAAATATTAGCATATAACAAATATTTGTTGAAACAATGGCACATAATGGAACATATTCTTGCAAATAAATATATACGTACAGCTGTATATACACATAACAATACATCTATATACATAATGCATACACATACATATATGAACCTGCTTAGTTATCCACATACATATGTATATTCATTTAGGTAATCCACATATATAACATATTCTAAGATGTACATGCATGCATGTATACATACACGTCATGTACAGTGTATATAAACATATACACATATAACTACTACATGAATATACTATATTGTATATAGATATCACATATATACTACACATACATGTGCACGTTTACATACATAAATTAAAAAATCAAAGCTCCTTTGTAACTCAAACTTCTCTAATCAATTTAACTGTTTTAAGGCCCCTGGCCCAGGTCAGGCTGCCACAACCATAAATATCCACCAGATGGCACTCTTTCGCCACTTCCTATACTTCACAAGTGCTACCCAAGAGAGGTCGTCTCTGGCCGAGTGACAAAACGTGCGAAGCCAGTGTACCCTAGGAGCTTCCCTTTCCTTCCCCTAACCGCCAGGGCGGTGGGCGTGTCCTTGGTCTGTAAACCCCGCCCTCTCCGAAGTCCGTCTCCTCCAGCCTGAAGACTTCTGTTGAAGTGGTAGACTCCCTGTTGGGGTTCCAGTTCGGCTCAGCCCTCAAATCCACCCCGGTCCACAAACAAGCCAGGGCTTGGGCTTCACCCGGACTCCCTCGGTTCAGACTAGCGTGGTTAAAGGACCCTTCCTTCGTAGTAACCCGCAACCAGATGCTGGCCCCATTCCCCAGGACAGCCCGAGTTGGGAGTCAGGGTCATTTGCGCACACGTGCCGCCCCACTCGGCAAACTCCCCACACCCTGCTCCGGACGTCCAGTCCAGATCAGCCAAAAGCAGGGAGAAGAATGGCCTGGCCCTGGGACAGAGTCCCTCGTCTTGGGAGGGTTAATCCTTTCTGTCCTGGTCCGTTTTTGACTCTGGCTCTCTGGTTCAGAGCCGAAAAGAAGTGCATTCGCTGATCTTAAGCACACTACTTAAAATCTCAGAGGTGGGGGAAGTGGGGTGGGTCAGAGCCTCTCCCCGCTCCAGGCCTGTGCCACTCCAGGTCAGCTCTCCTGGAGCCTCACAGGTCCGGCGCGAGTAACCTAAGCCGAAAATCTCGGAGAAGGCTTGGAAACCCGTGGGGAGGCGAAGCCGGGAGTTCTGGCAGCCGCTCTGCTTTCCCCACTTCCCCTCTCCTCCCCCGGGAGCGGCGGGAAATTATTTATTAAAACGCTGCCCGCGCTCTCATTTATTTGCGGTGAATAATCCTCGGCATCGCAGCGCGTTTATTAAACCTTTGCCGTCCCTGCATTACTTTAATAATAAATCGCGTGTCACTTTCCAGCGACGTTATTAAAGCCCGTCTGCGGAGCAGAGGTGGGAGGGGGGCGGCGGCGGGGAGGCAGCAGGGTTCCTCCTATTCCGGGCTGTTGAGGCCTGAACCAGCAGGACCGCGAGGGCTCACTGAGGGTGTAAGGAAGTTGCACCCAAATATCCTACAAAGTCTGCAAAACTGTCAAGGAATACAGAGGCCCGCAGGCGCAGGGAACAATTTGCTCCGCAGGTGGGCGCGGTAATATAGATAGGACGGCCAGGGGGCGCCTTCGAGACTAGCTGGGCAGGAGTCCCTCGAGAAGAACTAGCCTGCGGCGGATTCCAGGAAGCGGAGTGACCCAGACCCACCTTCCCCTTTCAGCTCCCAGCAGGCCTCCTTCTGTCCGGACGCCGAGCAGCATGACCCCTCTATCCCTGGCACACCACTGACATCCCCAGTCCTGCTTCCGCGGTCGCCTTGGAATTCGGCCCAAGTATCCAACCCACTCGAGCTGACGAACGCAGTTCCTGGGGCCGCCAGGCTGCATCCAGCCAGGACGGCTATGAGGGCTGTCCTCTGGCTTAGTCTTGGGATGAGGCTCGGCCAAGCCCCCGGGTTGCGGTTTCGGACCACGCCCCTCCCAAGAGCCCGGGCTCCCTGCGTTGGGCCCCAGAAGACAAGCTCAGACACCGAGCCGACAGCAATCTCTCCAGTGGTGGCGCCAAGCTCCGGGCGGAGACCAGGCGCGTGGGAGACTGTCGCCATCCACCCACTGGGTCTTAACCTCGCGAACTTCAGTTTTCATGTTCTGCCTCAATCAGTCAATAAACTCTGTGCCTTACCAGTGTCCCTCGGCTAGGTAAGGAGAGAGTGTGGAGAGAAATATGGGGAGAAGAGTGCGGCTCCATTAAGACCCCCAGCCAGATAGGAGAGGACATATTTAGGGCCAATGAGGAAACAGGCTTACCTGACTTTGATGTCAGATGGGAGATGGGTGAATTAATTCCTAGGGGAACCCTAGGGTACAGCCCATACACATGGGCAAATTTCTCCCCTCCTCCATCCAATTTATGCTTTTACATTGGGGTCCTCCCCATATGGACCAGGTTCCCCACTCTGCCTAGGGAAGAGAGCAGACTGAGATAAACAGAGAGACAGGCAATCTATTTCTAGACCAGCTCCAGTGGAGTGTAGACTGGGAAGAACCTCCTTTCAACCAGATGGCTCCAGCCTTCCTCCCTAGAGGGCAGGGTAGGCCCCAGCTCTAGCTTCTTCTCTGTACATCTGGCCAGCATGTGCTTAGAGAGCAGGACCTGCAATTTCTGGAAGCTAGAGTCCTACTGCCATGGGAGGCCTCTCACGGAAATGGGGTCTTCATGTGCACATCGCATGAACCATCTATGCATCTGTGCATCTCCGTTTGCTCATAAGTCTTTATTGCGTGCTTACTGTGCCTAGTCCTGTGCTAGGCATTGCCCAATACAGGGTGATATAAGATACAGTGCTGGCATCCAGGAGTTTCCAGAATGACAGGAGAAATTTGACATGACTAAATGCACATCCTACTGCACTGGACTAAAACCATGTTCCACTGTGTTCTCCTGGATAGAAGATGGTGAACAGCAAAGACGACTGCAGTTAATAAGTTCAAGGAGAGGAAATTTCTAGAAGGTGAGCTTTGAGGAAGAATAAACTGAGGTTGGCAAAAATTAGGGACTAGATAAATAACAGCAGGAGTTGTAGGGAAGGGAAGTTAGAAAGATTGGCTGAGCAGTGCTGGAGGAAGGGCTGCCAGAATGAAGTGGAGGATGTACTGTATTTCCCCCAATAGTGTCTGCACTTCTTTGTGTCTGCTCTGCCCCTGCCATGCCCCCACCCAGCCAGGGGACTAGGTAACTGTTGCCTTCTGCCTGGTTGGTCAACACTGAAGACTTTCCCGGCCAGGGCATCTCCTGCATAAGCTTCTTTGCATTCCACCTCTCCTAGTCTCTGCCTCTCTCCTTACCTTTCTCCAACTTTTGCCCTCCCCCCGACCCTGGGGGCCATGTCTGCCCATGTAGGGCAGTAAAGCAACCCATGAAAGGCCCTGCTCACCCCTTTCCAATTCTTTTCAAGAGCAGGGATGAACACTATCCCCACTCGCCCACCCCCATGGGCCTGGGCTCCAGACCTAGTAGTAATCCTCGCCCTCTTCACTCTCAGCCTCCTCCTCAGAAGCCAGATGCAGGGATGGCAGCTGGGAGATGCCTGTGGCGTTCAGCTGGTCTGCAAACACATGTGGGAAAAGGAGAGAGAACAGAAAAGGGGGTTGTCAGTGCCCACGTATCCCAGTTTGTAGGAAAGTCGTGCTTGCACACATGAACACACATTCAATGGCTCAAATTACCACCAGCCCCCAGAGCCAAGGGCTCCCCATTACCTGATGTGAGCACTGTGAGGCTAGCTGAGGCCTCAACCTGGCCCAGGGCATTGTGGGCCAGGCAGCGGTAGGTGCCCTCATCACTGGGACGCACAGCCTGGATCTGCAGCCAGGCCGTCACCTCAAACCTCTGGGGTCCACCCCTAAACTGGAAACAGAGGAAGAGTCAACAGAGTCTTTTTAGGAGAACCCTGAGTTGCCTGAGAGAACCCTCTGCTCCCTGCCCCTACCTGCACAGAGATGTGGGGGTCATCCCCTGGCAGCTGTATGTCCAAGCCGTCCTTCCTCCACTCGATGGAGGCCATGGGGTAGGCAAACACCTCACAGCCAAATATCACGTCCTGCCCCATCACATTCCAAATGTCGAATGGGTGGGACACAATCTGGGGCTCTGGAGGTGGAGGTGGGAGGCCTGAGAACAGGGTGTCGTCACATGCAACCCAGCAAGGACCCCATATGTGAACTACTGTGTTTGTGTTTGGGGGAAATACAATACATGCTGAGGTAAATATACATCCATAAACATAACATGACATATAACACAGGAACATATAAATGTAGGTGCAGGTACACACAAGAGTACAAACTCGGAGCTGTGCATGACGACGGGATGCACAAACAAGCACACAGACCCACACCTCAGCTTGGCAGCCACACTTTGTCCCTGACTGCACCCCTGTCCTCATTCCACCCTCTAGACGCCTGTCCTGCTGTACTTGTAACCAGCACCTCCCCCCTCCCACTTTACTAACCAGGCCCAGTTCCAATGGTTTGAAGAATAGCCCTTCCCCTCGAGGGTGGGGTTCCACTTGGCAAAGGAAGAGAACCTGAAATCCGACCTGGGCAGCAGGCTGAAAGCCTGGAGTTGTGGAGCAAGTGTGGGGCCCCCCACAGGGTGTCTGTCTTCCCTGGCAGCCCCAGCAAAGCCAGACCCCTCAAAGGGGCTCAGGAAGTGAAAGTTGCTAAAGTCACCAAAGAAAACCTGAGGCTTGAATAATCCTCAGTCCCCCTGGGATGTGGGGAAAGGGAGCTTGAAGAGCCCCCTCCTTCTCAAAGAGACAAGGAGGGAGGCGGGAGGTGGGTTAACAACTTGCTCTAGGAATCCGAGTCCACCCAAATGAAACCTGGTTGCATCTCACAGGAACCCAAGTCTCATTGCCTAGGCTCCAGCGTCTGGGCAAAGTCTGGGAGTCTCTTCACTCCCTCAATTTTGAGGCCAATCATTGGCTATGTGCCTGCTCCCTAAGAGGGTTGGTCCCTGCCAGACGAGTCTGGAATTTTCACGAGCCTCAACGTATTCAGCTTGTCACGAAAGCTCGAGGGCCCCTTCAGGCGGCCGCCTCTGCGGACTAGCAGCGAGAGCAGGTAGGCTCTTAGGCTGGACTCGAGGCTACCCTGGCCTCATCTTTTTCGCTCCGCTGGCCAGAGACCAATGCAGTCGGGGTCAGGGAGAAAGAACTCGAGGAGCCCCAAGTGCTGGGGGTAGGGGCCCCGGGCCATCCGTACCAGATTCGCAGGGCCCTGGATGCGCCACAGTGAGGTTGGCTTCAGGCCGAGCGCGGGCCGCCTCCTGCAGGCGGCAGATCTGCGCGTAGGTGCGGCCATCCGAACCGCAGAGCGGGCGCTGCGAGCGGCAAGCACACAGAGGCTCTGGCACCTCTCCGCGACTAAGGTCGCCGCCTGCGTCTAACCGGCACTCCAGCTGCTCGCCGCAACGCCCGTAGAAGTGGGCGCTGGGGTCCAGGTCACAGAGTTGTCCCTCGAGGTTGGCGCATTCCCAGCAGCAGTCGCACGCGTCCCGCACCCGGCCGGCCAAGCAGCCCCGTGGCGCGGCGCACTCCTCTGGCCGACAGGGCGCGCAGCCTTCGCCCTCCGCCAGCAGCCGCAGCCAGCCGCGCCGCAGGTAATCGGGGCCTGCAGACGGCCGCGCGCCCGTCTCGGGAGGCGTCCGCACCAGCAGCAGTAGCAGTAACAGCGGCAGGGCCAAGGTAGCGGCGGGCGACTGTGGCATGCTTAGCTGGAAGCCGTGCGAGATGGCACTCTGCCAGGGAGGGAACTCAGGTCAGATCAGAAGCAACCTCACTACTCCTTGTACCGAAGTTTGACTCTAGCACTGCCCCCTCCCCTGCTACACTGGGGTCAAGTAGACCCCCCACACAGGGGCAAGGTGACCCTTTAGGAGTCATCCAGTTATGCTGGGGAGATAATATAATCGATTGCGCTGTTCCTACAGAGTTGGGGAGAGGTGAGAGGAAGGGGTGGTAAAACTCAAGAGCTCGCGCGCGCGCGTGCGCGCGCACACACACACACACACACAGCCCCCACCAGCAGCACCACCATACACCATCCAAGCTCTAGAGATGAATGGCCCCAGGAGAACTAATAAGTTGTTAATAAGAATAGGAAGGGATGGGGGCAAGGTGGAATGGGGTGATGCCCTGGGGCCCAGAGCGCTCACCTAGTGTCCCGGACTAAGCCCTTTAGAACAGCCGTGACTCCGGTCCGAAAGAGGAGGCAGTGGAAAGAACACGGAGGTGAACAAACCGGCTAGACCCTCATGCCACCTTTGCTGCTGCTCAGAGGATCTCTGAGAGCCTACGGACTTCACTCAGAGAGCAGCTCCTCCACCCCTTCCCTCCACCCCCTCGTCGCACACCGCCCTCCCTCTCCCCACGTCCCAGAGCTCTGAACCAATTTTATGCAGCCACATGGGACCCTCCTGGGTCATTTCCTCCTAGCCTGAGCCAAAGTCACAGAGAGAACAGAAGAGCCGTAATAGGACACCGAAGCTGGCGAAGACCAGAGACGGGGTGGAGTGGGAGTTGGGAGTAAGGGATGGAGGGGTGGCTAGGAAGCTCGAAGAGTTGGCTGAACCGCAAGCCCCAACCCATCCTATTTTACGGTCCCTAGGGTGTGCTAGAACAACTGTATAACCGGGAGGCGGTAGGAGCTCTGATGCCAAGTTGGAAGCTCCTGGAGGGCAGGGCCAACTAAGGTCGTCTCCCCACGAGCCAGGGCCGGCATCCCGGGGGCGACTGCAGGTTTGTCCATCCAGCTTCCCCACCAAGGCGCCAACCAGACTTGCGACGGTAACATCTGCCTCCCCACACCCGGCAGGTGCTTCAACCCGAGGATGAACAGGGTGATTAGAGGTCCAAGCAGACTAGCCGCCGCAGGGAAAGATGGGCGGGGTGCCTCTCCAGCAGGCCTCGCTTGAAATCGGGATTACAGGTTATGGTTGCGAGGCTGGCAGGCCCGAGGCATGCGGTCTGGCGGTGGCCTCCACCGCCACCGTGGCACTTTGGGCTGGGGGCGGGGAGGAAAGTATTCCTTGAGACCCGCCCACCTTACCCGGGGTCTACCAGACCCCGCCCCGGCCTTCCCCAACTAGCTCGCAGAAGCCGCGCTGCAGTCCAGTTAGTAGGGGGCGGTAACCGAGCTTTGCAGTCGGGGAGGTGACGGTATTTAGTCAGGCTTGGCCCAGAAGGACCCAACCCTTAGCCTAGCGTCAGGCGCTGTAGCTTCCAGACCAGCCCCGAAGTTCAGGGCGGGGCCGCAATGTCCGGACCGCCTTGGGGGATCGGCTCTGCATGCGTAATGGGGCCCGGCGATTCGAACTTCCGGATGCGGTGCCGGCCTCTCCCTACGGATCCGAACTCGGCCAAGCCCTTTCACTTAGGGTTTCTAATCCGCGTACACGCCACTCATGGATGAAATGGGCGAAGGCAGGTACACTGTCACCCTGTTCTCTAAAACTGCAAGAGGGACGGGAAACAGCTTCAGGCGAGGCCTCGCAACTGTCGCGAGAATGAGAAAAGGAAGTCTAGGAATTGGTACAGGAAAAGCCCGCAGATTTTAAACAGGCAAAAGAATGGGCGGGCCAGCTATAGTTGTCAGTCGGGGAGGTGACGGTATTTAGTCAGGCTTGGCCCAGAAGGACCCAACCCTTAGCCTAGCGTCAGGCGCTGTAGCTTCCAGACCAGCCCCGAAGTTCAGGGCGGGGCCGCAATGTCCGGACCGCCTTGGGGGATCGGCTCTGCATGCGTAATGGAGCCCGGCGATTCGAACTTCCGGATGCGGTGCCGGCCTCTCCCTACGGATCCGAACTCGGCCAAGCCCTTTCACTTAGGGTTTCTAATCCGCGTACACGCCACTCATGGATGAAATGGGCGAAGGCAGGTACACTGTCACCCTGTTCTCTAAAACTGCAAGAGGGACGGGAAACAGCTTCAGGCGAGGCCTCGCAACTGTCGCGAGAATGAGAAAAGGAAGTCTAGGAATTGGTACAGGAAAAGCCCGCAGATTTTAAACAAGCAAAAGAATGGGCGGGCCAGCTATAGTTGATAGTTATGGATAATTCCTGTCCTTAGTCCTGCGGGCATCTGGTGTCGACGTGGAGTAGACGTGAACTGTAAGAGAACCGCAGGAAGCCTTGCAAAAAGGGAGCTGGGCCAGAGTGACTTGAAATTGCGGAGTTGACTAATGGAGCCACGCAGGTTTCTGGCTCTGACTTAAAGTACTTCGAGGGCGGGGATACCAAGCGGAAGCAGTCCGGAATCTCTTACTGAATTGTTACCGCCTTCTAAAAATTGGAGCCAGTGTTTAAACAAACTTCACAGACCCAGAAAGTCTTCACTTTATTGTAGCTGGATGTTTACTTTCAGTCAGCTGTGCTCTAAACGTCTGGTGTTAGGAATCGCGCCTAACTCATCAACGTATCTTGTGAATTCAGCCCCGCGCCTGACGGCACAGCAAATTCTCGGTAAATATTTGTGTATTACATGTGAAAGACTTCACCTGGATGTGAAAATCAAAGTTTAACCTGGATTTTCTGAGTCGCCGATGATGAAGACTGGATAGGCAGAGAAGGAGCGCCCTCTGGTGGGCTTGAGATTGGTGACAAGAACATTACTGAATACGGTATGCACCAAAATGTTGACTATATAGATGTGCTTTTATTAAGTAGAGATTTAACACGTATTGTACAAATACTTTTACAAGGGAATTTTTTGCATAACACAATTTGAAAGCCTAGATACGTTCCGAGATCATCTGACACTATCCATTAAGGCTCCAAAATACATTTAATCATACCTATTTGCATTATAAATAGTAAAGAAAAACAAACAAAAAAAAATATTTTGCACATTCATACTTTAAAAATGTTGACTCAGCTTGACTGGGTCATGCAAAGCTGTTGGGCTACAGGAAAGGATTCTCTAATCAGACGAACTGCAAGGAGATAAGCCAGGTGGCAACATCTTACATCCTTTGCATCTGTGTGAGGGAGACTGGATTCAGTTGAGGAGGATGAAGTTAAAATTTCTTGAAGAACAAATAGTCCTGCTTCTTTCCCCCAACTCTTTTCTGTAGTTGCTTGTACGAAAGAAGGAATGATACATTGGTGTAGTTTGGTTTTCAGTGTGAATCATAGCCTAGAGTTAACAGGTTAATTTCTTAATACCTGCACTTTCAGCTACTCCCCCATGAAATAACTGTTAAATAATGAAAGAATGAAATGAGTTCTATGCAGATGAACAACATAAGATGAAACAAGGCCTAAAGGATCAGTGTGTAACTTGATCAGAAATTATTTGGGAGACCCACACATTCTAACCTGTCACTTCATGAACCCTGTTTTGATCCAGCCAGTGAAAATAGTGGGGTTGCAACTTGGAGGGAGTAGCTGAATTGAAAACAAATGGTCCAGATCGACCCATTAGAGATGGATACAGAATAATTTTGCTTTCTGTGAACATTAGAATCAGTTAAGTTTAAAAAGGCTCAGCATAGATGATTAAGACAGAATACCTGGTAGCTACCTACTATGACATATTGATTAACTTAGTTAAAGTGAAAAATATGTGTAGGAAAATAAGGTTAAGTGAAAAGGAGAAGTACATGCATACTGATCACAACCATGTCAATATTGTCATTATATGTATCATCAATAAACACCCTAAGAGAATTTGGAATGAAGCAAATGCTTGGGTATAATGCTGGCTATTCCTTTACTTTGTAAAATTGTTTTTCATAATAAAAAAATAGAGGCTACACAATGGAATACCACTCAGCCATAAGAAAGAAACAAATCCTACCATTTGCAACAACATGGATGGAGCTGGAGGATATTATGCTCAGTGAAATAAGCCAGGCAGAGAAAGACAAGTACCAAATGATTTCCCTCATCTGTGGAGTATAACAACAAAGCAAAACTGAAGGAACAAAAACAGCAACAGACTCACAGAACCCAAGAAGGGACTAGCAGTTACCAAAGGGGAGGGAGGGAGAAGGAGACTGAGGGGTATTACGATTGGCACACATGGTGTGGGGGGGCGGATCATGGGGAAGACAGTGTAGCACAGAGAAGGCAAATTGTGACTCTGTGGCATCTTACTATACTGTTGGGTAGTGACTGCAATGGGGTATGGGGGGACATGATAACATGGGTGATATAGTGAAGCATATTGTTTTTTTCATGTGAAACCTTCATAAGAGTGTATATCAATACCTTAATTAAAAAAAAGGACAGGCAATTTCTGTAGGTAAATTAGGATGTTGAGATACATGTAGAAAGTTGGGATGCCACGGGGGAAGATAAGCATTATAATCCAGCTACAAATAATGTTACTAAATGAAAGCTGCAATACCCACAAGACTAGCTCTCTGTAACACCTAGGCATTAGGCACGTTGAATGAGCTTTAAGACACGCAGAAAGAAATCAGGCAGGAAATTTCTTCAGTTTACCTTTTTTGTATCCCATGAGACAGCTCCCTTCCACCCCTCCAGTTTCCCATCCACTTTTGACATGGAGACTGTAGCTCCATCTGAACTGACAGCTTGGCCACATTTTGTACTGATAAACTTTGAAAGGATGTTTAAGTTATTTAGACTTTCTACATTTCTTGTTCTCCTTTTGTTTTTAACTTCTTTTATTAATTTTGAAGTATAATGGAAAAAGCAGACAAGTGCACAAAATATATAGTTGAACTTTACAAAATGAACACTTGTGTGATCGTCATGCAGATCAAGAAATAGAACATTGTTAACACCCCCAGAAGCTTCCATCATGCACCCTCCCCATTAATCCCTCTATTCCCCAAGATAACCACTTCTAACTCTATATTTTAATTTTACCTTGTTTTTGACTTTTATATAAATTGGGATACACCTAGGAATGGAATGCTGCTTCATGTGATATGCATGCATTCAGTATTTGTAATTATTACCAAACCGTTTTTCCAAAGTGACTATATCAATTTACATAGTCACCAACAATTTATGAAGTTCGCATTGTGCCATATCCTTGCTAACACTTGGTATTGTCAGTCTTGTTAATTTTAGCATTAAGTAAATATTTTAGAGCCTAAGATTCTAAGATGGCCAGTTCTGCAAGGATTTCCTCCTTGGATTTTTTTAAGTCTATTTGAAATAATTTTAGATGTGCACAGAAGTTGCAAAAATAGCACAGAAAGTTCCCATGTACCTTTACCCACTCTGCCCCAAAGGTAACATTTTATGTAACCATAGTATAATTATCAGTACCAGGGCCTTGACATTGCTATAATACTATTAACTAAACTATGGGCCATACTCAGATTTTGCCAGTTTTTACATGTATTTGTGTTTGTGTTAATAATTGAAATTTTATCACATGTATAGGTTTGTGTAACCATGAGATAAATGAGGCTAAAGGGCATGCCAACGGAAAAGTAGTAGAATCTATAATAGTAGACGAAATGTAATTTAATATTTAAGTAGCTTTTTAAATTATTTTCAGAAGTCATTGAAGAGAAAGGGGGCTAGTTGTCAGGAAAGCTAAATACTTATACACATTTTCAAATTCTTTGCCTACCTGTTGGGCAGCTATGGGCATGGACAGATTTCTCAGTCACTGGTTGAAGTCCACTATTAATTAGGGCACAAGGGCACACTCAGAAGGATTTGGTGGACAGGTGGTGATTTCCAAAGCAGCAGGCCCTTCAATCCTGCCTTAGTTCTTGAAAAATTTTCTGTGAGGCCAATAAGGTAACTTCCTGCTGACACCTCTACAGTGATTCCTCATTCTTCCCACCATTATTGTATATAATGTTCAGATGATACCCCAGTTTCTCTGTTTGGCCCAGACCTCTCTCCTTAGTGTCACACCAATGTATCCAAATTGATGATTACACTTCTGGTATTTTCTTCCAAGCAGCCAGAGAAGAAGGCCATTAAAAGCTCCAGCCTACATCATACTATGGCTGCCAGAAAAAAAGCATCAGTGTTATCAAATAATAGGGAAACATTTTATGAACTCTGCTTGAGTGCTGTGCTCACAGGAGTTACTCGCATGGCCAAGGCCTAGCCAGCGTGGAGTACAAGTCTCCCCTGTAGCAGGTGCAGTCTGTGCCCTACCCATTTATTCTTGGCCACACCAGAGGCTTCCTGTGACAGTTCCTGTATATCTCATGGGTCTCTCTGCCTGAGGGAATCCTCTGGCCCTTAGAGTGAGCTCAGCTAGCAAGATAGGCTAAAAATGCCTCAGAGGTAGCTCAGCCATGTCCAGTGAGGGCCAGGACTTGGAGGACGAATAGCCCTGCTTCCTTTTCCTTCAGTGGGGTAATTCTGAGGTGTATTCCATCCAGTCTTGCAGAAGGGCTCAGCTGGGGTTGAGCCCAGTTACCCTCTGTGGAGACCTGCTCACTGAGGCAATCCTTGTGTTTTCCCCCTTTCCCCTTACTGCATTTCTGGAATAATCTCCCATATAAACTGTACCCAATCCTTGTTTCAGGATCTGCTTTCTGAGGAACCACAACTAAGATAACTCCTGTAAAGGGAGGAGGCCATCTGTTTGAAAGCCCCATCATGACCATATAACCAAGAAAGCATCTTAGACCCCAAAACTGCTTTTGGTTGCGACAGTATCCTTGCTTACATCTCACTTTCAACCTTTGCTCTTAAGACATATTAGAGTTTAATGTTGACTTCTGTGGGGAGTTGGGCAATAGGTTAACATCCCAGACTCCTCTGAGCTGGCCAGTTCCCTAAAACCAAGGAAGAATCTAAGGAATGTATGCTCAGAACTCCAAGGAAGAAGTGGTGGAATGTTTTCGCAGGGGCTGAAGGAAAACAAAGAGGACTATTAGGCAGGAATTACTTGGCTTTTAAGCAGTCAAACCATATAGAGAATTCTGGGTCTCAGGAGAGCATCAGAATATGGTGGATAAAATGCTGAGCAGAGAATGAATGCCATCTCTGTTCAGTGTGGGCAGCTCACTAGTGACAGAACAAACATGTTAGAAAGATCATGGGCTAGGTGGGGAGGGAGGGAGAAGGGGATTGAGGGGTAGTATGTTTAGTACACATGGTGTGGGGGATCACGGGGAGAACAGTGTAGCACAGAGAAGGCACATAGTGAATCTGTGGCATCTTGCTGCACTGATGGACAGTGACTGCATTGGGGTATGTGTGGGGACTTGATAATATGGGTAAATGTAGTAACCACATTGTTTTTTCATGTGAAATCTTCATAAGAGTGTATATCAATCATACCTTAATAAATAATTTTTTTTAAAAAAGAAAGATCATGGTCTAGAAAGGGTGAAAATGAGGCTCAGCATGAACCTCTGAGCATGTTCAAAAGTCCATAAGCTTTCCACGTCAATATGCTCAGCCGCACAAAACCCCAGATACCTTCGTGTGTTTTCTACCATTGTCCCCAAGGGTAAGATTCAGGAGGTGAGGTACCAAAAGGTAGCAATCAGGAGAACTATGCCTAGCAAACCTGCTGGCTCTGTTCCCTGATTACAGGAGACCCAAGTAGGGAATTCGTCGAGTAGAACCCCACTGAAGTTGAGCTCAAGAAATGTGTAGAAAATGGTGTTTTAAATTAAGGGTTGAGATCTTTGGGGTCCTGGGGCTTGCTGGCACACTGCCCTCTATATTTTTTAATAATGTGGATTGATCACAGGAGAGAAGGCTGCTGTGACCAGGTCTTGTACTTCAGTAGCTGCCAAGTGCGAAGACTGCCCCAACCATCAGGTAGGGTCTGTAGGGCAAGCATTATGTGCAGTGGGTGGCAAAATGCCCCACGTCTAGGAAGGGTGTCATAGGAGAAGTTCATATTTGAACTTAGAATTCAGGCTTCCAGTCAGCCTTGCTAGCAACTATGACCCATCTGAACCTCAGTTTCTTCTGAGACACAAGGGTGAATTCAGCCTTCAGACACTTGTATTCAGCAGTGTTTTTAAGTTTTTACTTAATTGCAGATATTTCAATAGTGAGAAGTTTTATATAAAAATCCAGGATTTGGGAGCCAGAGTCATCAGGCTGGGATATTCAAGGAGGCCTGGAGGAGAATCCCCAGCTGCTCCTAGCGCTGAGACAGGCAGGTGAGAAAAGAGCTAATATCTGAGCTGCTGTACTGACAGGATTTTTTTTTTCTTTAAAGAAAAAGAAGGAAAAAAACCCCCGGGAATCTGGGCCACCCAACAGCGGTTGTTCAAGATGAGTACTGGCTGCTGTTTTAGGTGGGGCTGGCCCTCTCCAGCTCACCACAGCCCTGATGGGTCCTACCTCCCTCACTTAAGACTTCTGCTTGCCCCTGTAGCCTTTGAGTTTATGATCCTTGAACTAGATGGTTCCTCTAGCTCTAACATCGAATAATAACAACGATGGTTACTACTTTTCAAATGGTTCCAATGTGCCAGGCACTGTGACAAGCAATTTACATACACTAGCTTGTTTGAGACTTACAAAGCCTTGTAAGGATTATTAATCATACTTCTTATATAAGAAAGGATCAGACCTGTAGATAAGTTTACCCACTGTCACACAAATCAGTAAGCAGCAGAGCCAAGATTTGAATCTCAGGCTGCCTAGGTCTAAGGCATGATTCTGTCCATCACACTAGCCTGACACTATCACTGTATCTTTGTCAGCCTAACTTTAGTGCAGCTGGAACCAGTACTGCAGCTGGTATTTTATATATCTACCCCATATTCAGGAACAAGGTATAGAAATGCTTGGTGGGTGTGTGTCCAGACATCAGAAAATCAGGAGGTGGGGAGGTGATGAGGAACATTGTTGGTCACAGCATCTGACACACACACCTCACAGTACTGAGGCCAAAGTACTTCAGGCTTGGTACAAGAAAAGATGAGAGATGAATAGAGGCTTCCAGGGAGGCAGTAGTGGGGAAGCAGATCAGTCCCTTGTGAGGCCGGGCATTTTGAGAGGCCTCAGGGAGAACCCCCAGCCGCTCCTAGTGCTGAGACAGGCAGGTTGGCGGTGAGAGCAGTATGGCTAATATCTGAGCTGTTGGTGTTGGCAAGAACTCTCCTGGCTATGGGCGATGAGGAGAGTAGTGAGTGGGAATCAGGTGGCTCTCTGGGCAGAGGAGCAATATGAGCCTCTAAGCCGCGGGGCCTAGGGGTCTCACCCCTGCCTTCCTCATTCTTGCCCTGTCCCCTTCTTGCCTGAGTGGTCTGTGGTGATCTTTGCAGGTGAAAGTACCATCGGAGCGCTTACAGGTGCAGAAACAGCAGTTTACCTAAGGCACTGGCCCGTGCAGTGCATGGAGATGAGAAGGGAAAGGAGGAAAGGGATTGTCCAGAGGCCCTTGACCCCAGCCCATGGGCTCAGCTGCGACTTGCTTGGTGGAGTTGGTAGCAGGGAGGATGAGGCGTTGTCCGGGGGCAAGAGCCCCGCGAGGTTCTGTGGCCCAGTCCGGTGGGTGACCCCAAGCCTAGAACCCGGTGTCTCGGCAGGGATCCCGCATCCCAGTCCCGGAACGCCCCCTGCGGGGCCGAGAACGCTGCTGGCTGGTGGCGGCGCAGCGAGGGGAGGCCGGTGCAGAGCTTCAGCCCCTCCCCGGCACTGGGTGCGCCCCAACCCACCTGCGCGAGGGCGCCCTGCCCGGGGGAGGAGGGGCGGGAAGTCCGAGGCGGGTCGGATTCCCAGCCAGCTCTCTCCTCACAGGAGGCGGCCCATTATCTGGCGTCGTTAAAGAGCAATTAGATGGAAATTAAGCCGAGAACAAGTATTGATTATCTCATTAAGGCAGGGGAAGCCCGCCCTGTCGGTGAGAGTTTACCGCCGCTCACCCCATTATCTGCAAGGTGAAAGCCTGTGGTTATCAAAATCCAGCTAAGTATCGATCTTACCTCCATTCCCGAACTGGTCCTGTCCCCTTCCTCCCGGAGAAATGGTTCTAGAGTGGGTGACACCGGTGTGTGATGAAGTGAAAAAAGAGCTCAGACCCCTACTGTGTCCGTCTTAGCCCTCTTTCTGTAGTACCCTTCGTATTCTGCTCCCAAATCATTATTTTTCCCTGATGCTACTGGGGCGGGGAGAGCGGGAGACCAGAGACAGTTCCCATCCCTCCAGGGCAGGAGAGAGGGGGATCCCCTAGTTTTACATCCAAGGGAGAGAAAGAGCTGAGAGTTAAAATAATTTGCCTCTGTTGACACAGTATAGGGTGTCCCTGGACCCCTAAACCCTTATCCTGGAGGGAGAGGGAAAGGCTTATTTCTTCCTCACCACAGACTACAAAGGAAAAAATCACACACCCCCATAGACTCCCCAAGGCTTAGAAACCTCAGAGTTCAGAATGGGCTTCCTTAGGGTCCAAGATGATGTGACCTTCAGAGAAAAATCTTAGCATGTTCGAAAAGTTGTCATTTTTGCATCTAGGTGTCTGTGCTACCTCAGGCAAGTCACTTGTCTTTTTAGGCCATGCAATCCTCAAAAGAATGGATTCAAAGAGCTCTAAGTCTCCTGGGCCACAAACAACATGATCTGTGGGACTAAATGCTGAGCTCCATGCTGGCAGGCATTGAGGATGCAGCTGTGTCCCCAGCCCCTGCCTGTCCTCCAGGAGTTTTTATGACCTTAAAGGGGAGAAGACATTGAACTGATAATCATGGAAATAATAAGTAACGATTATAATATTAATTAGAAGAATGCAGGTGTATGAGGGTGTTTAAGAAAGGGGTGGGGGAGCTTGCACAGGAAGCAGATGTTTCAGTAAAGAGACAGAATACACCCGTTGCTCATTCATTCATTCAACAGAATTAGTGTAGGTGCTCCAGAACCCAGGTGAACAGTATGATGGTCCCTTCCGCCTGGAGCCCGTAGTCCGTTGGGGGACAAAGACGTCAATGATATAATCACACAAATAAAGGTAAAAGCACATATATCGTAGGTATACTGAAAAATATGACAGAGAGCAAATAAGTGATAATAAGAGAATTGAGAGGGGAGAGGGGATCAAGGGAACCTCTCCGAGAAAGTGATGGTCAGTCATTTAAGATCAAGAAGTCCTTTAGTTGAGCGCGTGGGAAAGCAGGGGAAGTCCCCTGGAGAGGGTGCTCCTTTCCCTACTCGCTTTGCTTTGGAGCACGCCTAGGTCGGAGACCGAGCCGGGTATAGGGCGGGGGGCGGAAAAGGAGGCGGAGGGAGGGCTGGCGGGGCAGGTGTGCCCGGCCGGCACCGGGTGGGCCGGCGCGGAGGGAGCGGCGCTGCAGAGGTATCTGGGCTCATCTCCCTGCCCGGGAGCCGGACAACTATTAATCTTGGTTGACAGTTTCTAATGTCCTAATTGTGAGGTGGGGGGAGAGGCCCAGTCTGCCCTAAAGGTAGAAGCAGCTAATGGGCCTCTTCATCACCGCCAGGAGCGGGTCCCTGGCGGAGCCGAGCGGCGCTGCAGCAGGTGAGGCGCGGAGCTGGCGGAGGCTCTTAATGAAGCATCCCGGCCTGCAGCTGACCGAGAGGCGAGCGCTGGGGAGGAAGGCGGTTCCAGGAGGTGTAGGGCTCGGGGGCTCACCTGGGCGTCCTACAGCGAGGAAACTTCCTGGGGGCTCGGTGGCCGGTAAGAACTGCGTAGATAGACTTTTCGGAGGTGAAGAGTTGGGCGGGTTATGGGAAAAGGGAGTGTCTGGAAGGCCGGGCACAAATTGGGCGCCCCCACATGTTTGCTGACCTATAAGGCTTCTGCCTGACGGGTAGAGCGGGGAGATGTTGGAACAAGTATGAATTCACAGGCCTCCAGGACGCCAGTGTTTTCATAGCGCCTTGTCTTTTCATAGCCCTTACTCCTCTGTGACTCAGTTTCTCTTCTGAAACGGGTTTGTGAGCCCCCCCTAGCATGTGCTAGAGGGACCTGTCCTTAACTCAGTCCTCCCAACGCTGTCCTCTTCCCTCCCCCTCCGCCAGCCTTGCCCAAACTGCCGGAGGGAAGAGAGTGGGAGAGAGAGGGGCTGGGCCCACACCGCCGGTTGGCGCGGCTCCTCCGCCCTCCCCTGGGACCTGCGGCATCCTGAAGCCCCAGCTTCTCTGAGGGCTTCACTGTCTCCGGTTCGCTGTCAGCCTGTCTCCTGCCCCCAATCCCCCTCCAGCCGCATCAGAAATGTATTGTATTCTCACCTAATCCTGTTCAATTATAGCATAATAAAACACATAATAAAAACGTAATTCATTTTTCTCCCATGCCCCTCATCTCCCAGCATCTTGCTCGGGATTAAAATTTTGTCTTAATGTTTGTGGCACCGCAGTCCTGGCGCCTCCACATCTTTAATGTATGAACCAGGGAGCAAAGGGACCTGGTGGCTCTGCTGTCTTTGCGCTGGGAAGGTGCCCAACTGTCACCTTAGAGGGAGCAGTGCAGACCTGCATGGGTCCCAGCCACCCTTGCCCTTCCCTGAGATGGGGGTGCTCAGAGGCCCCCATAGTTCCTCGGGCAGGGAGGTAACATGTCCTTCCTTCCAAGGGACCCATTGTGGCCTCCAGAAGGGACACTGTGGGGCAGGTCTTTGGGATAGAGTTTACCAAAGAGAGTGGGCTACCTGGTGCAGCCCAGCCAGAAATGCAGAACAGATCCAGGCAAGGAGGGGACCCACTGTCCTCAACCTCCACTCTCTCCTTTGCTTCTGATCTTCTAAGTTAGCACTACCACCCGCATTCCACTGGGACTCTTGACCACATTATGAACAACCTGGATCCCTGAAACAAGGTTAGAACTTCTCACAAGGAATTATTGAGAATTCAGTGAGATAAAATTTCCTTCAAAGGCACAGTAACTGGTGGGTTTACAGAGAGCAGGTCTGATACCCAAATACAAACCATTGATATTCCCTCATTCCTTCTTCATTTCTTCATTCATTTAGGGCAGGGGTTCCCAAACTTTCTACATTCATGGAACCCTTAGTTTTTCACAGTATTGTAGGCCAGGAGAAATATCTAACAGTTCCTTTTAAGTACTTAAGTCCAAACAACTTGATGAGCTGTTTGTAGCTGTTTGAAAAGCTAATACACATGAATTGGAAGAAAAAAATTTTCTGCCACTCTTAACCTTTGTAATTTAATGGGATGTGTGTTCCTGTTGGGCTCTACATTACTTCTCAAAAGAATCAGCTTGGATACTGCCCTCATTTCCTGTTCCACACTAACTTTTGTGTAGTTATTGCGGTTTGTCACAGCAACCATCAAAAATCCAGTTTTGCAAAAATATTGAAAGTAATGCAGCACAATCTAATTTTGAAACTGTGAACTCAAGCTAGTAATTTGTGCAGTGCCCAACAGAAGTCAAGTATTGTTGGATTTCCCTTGAAAACTTAAAATGTCCTATGGCAGTCCTATGAGTTCATTGTGGCACTTTGTGGTGCCTCAGTACACAGGTCAGAAACCACAGATTTTCCTAACTACAGGGAATCTGCCTGTTTTTGTTTTTGTTTTTACACAAGCCTCCTTAGTGATCTTGGAAAGTCTGGGAAAGTTGAATAGAGGTCATGTGATTTGGCCAAAGGCAAAGGACTTGAATCTTATCCACAATTCGGACAAGAATTTATCTGAATAAATTCAGAGGAGTCTGACAGCTTAGGGTTCAAGTATTGGAAACTAGTTTGCAGAAATGGGGCCTTGAAAGAAATCATTAGCAGTGAAGAACAAGTCCAGCAAGATGAACCAGACTCAGCAGAAGGCTGGAGTATCATGAGAAGTAATACTTGTAGGTCTATTATAGGATGATGTTTAATCTTACTCACTACTATCCAGCACCCAGTGCACACCCCTGTGCCTTGGTGCCCTGAAAAAGAGCCCGTGAAAATGAAATTATATCACCAGAGGCCCAAGCAACTCTGTTGTGGGATCACTTAATAGGCATTGGACAAGAATAAGGGGAAGGTGTCCCCTTTCTATCATGCCTTAAATGATGACAGCTCAGTACCAGCCCCAAGAAGCTGCAGAGGTAGAGGGTAGGTCAGCACCACAGGAAACTAACTGCTGAAGTGAAAAGTTGCTGGTGTGTGAAAGGAAGCAGAAAGACAACAAAGTTGGAGACTGTGGCTCTGATTACATGTGAAATACTCTCCTTCACTGCCGTGCATTTGGGACTTCTGTAGAGACAGAGAGGGAGGGCTGAGCTCCTCTTGTTGGCCATCTTATGTAGGGACAAATCTAGAAACAAGCTTCACTTTGCCTGAGGAATTGTTCAAGCAACACTATCCCCAAGATTCTGACATGCCTCCCTGGGAGTGCATATTTTCTCTGTCCTCCAGGCTAAAAATCACTAAAGCTGTAAGCCATTGTTTTTGTGTGTGTGAATGTGTCACAAAAAGAAACAATGAAAGAAATTAGGTTTGTTGAGGAGTTAAGATTGAGAACCACCATGTTAGTGACCTTACCTAGGATCAACATATGAGTGGGGTTTAGGGCACTTTGGGATTCCACATTCATTTGTTCAGCAAACATATATTGAGTAGTTGCTGTGAATCAGGCACTATTATATGTGCCGTGGTCATATAAAAGTGAAGATATGAGTTGCTGTTTAATGGGTATAGAGTTTCAGAGGTGCAAGATGAAAAAGTTATGGAGATCTATTTCACAACAATGTGAATGTACTTAACACTAACTACTGAACTGTGCACTTAAAAATGGTTAAGGTGGTAAACTTTATGTTGTGTGTTTTTTATCACAATGAAAAAAATAATGAAGATATGGTGCCTGCCCTCAGGAGGGGTTTCATTTAAACTGGAGAGAATCATCTGTACAGGACCAATAATAATACATGTTGTAGTAAATACCAATCAGGGTGATTCTTAGTTCACAACAGTTGCCCTACTTTGGAAACAAACCCAGTCACAGAGATGGACATGAAGTAATAATGTCTAATGTTCTTGCAACTTGACCCCAGGGTAGACAACTGTTCTAAGTTGTATCAATTTTTGAAACTTGAATGATCAGAGACTGGAGCTAGTTGAAGCTGTTACTTCAATGGTGATGCCCATAAACTCCAGTTGCTGAGGTCCCTATAGCTGCTCAGATTCCTGCCTTTTCAAAGGCTAGGTTGGTTAGCTGCATCTCTGGTTCTGAGAGATACTGCAGAATCCTTCCAATACCTTCCTTTCAATTCTTCGTTCCCCTATTTACTGAAGTTAGCCACAATCATTTCTGTTGCTTTCCACAAAATAACTTAAAACCCAACCCAGAAGTGCTCCTTCTGGGAAATAAAAGTTGTCAATTCAAGAAGAGAGTATTGAAAGCAGCCAAAGAGAGAAAAAAGATTACTTGTAAAGGAAACCCCATCAGGCTATCAGCAGACGTCAAAAACTTTACAGGCCAGAAGGGAGTGGCATGATATATTTAATGTAATGAAACAGAAGGACCTCCAACCAAGAATACTCTACCCAGCAAGACTATCATTTACATTTGAATCAGGGATTAAATAATTTTCAGATAAACAAAAATTGAAGGAATTCACCATCACTAAGCCAGCCCTACAGGATATGTTAAAGGAACTGCTCTAGATGGAAATGTTCTTAAGACTAAAATAGCTGTCACCAGTGAAAATAAAACCACAGTAAGGGTATTAGACCAATTAATTACCAAGCAACTATAAAATTAAATCAACTACTCATAAAATCAGTTAAGGGATACACAAAAAGTGCAGAATATGACACCTAATATATAAAGTATGGAGGAGGAAGAAGAAGTGGGGGATGAAGTACCTCTAGATTGTGTTTGAAATAGAGTAATTAGTGATTTAAGATAGACCATTAGATAGTAAGGAAAAACTATCCTTCAATATTTGGTAACCACAAATCTAAAGTCTACAATGGCAATAAGTACATATCTATCAATAATCACCTTAAGTGTAAATACTGAATGCACCAATCAAAAGACATGGAGTGGCAGAATGGATTAAAAAAACAAGGCCCATCTATATTTTCCCTACAAGATACCCATCGCAGATCCAAGGACATACACAGACTAAAGTGAAGGGATGGAAAAAGATAGTTCATGCAAATAATAGGGAGAGAAAAGCAAGAGTAACAGTACTTATATCAGACGCAATAGATTTCAAGACAAAGTCCAAGAGACAAAGGACATTATGTAATGATAAAAGGGTCAGTCCAACAAGAGAATATAACCATTATAAATATCTAGGCATCCAACACAGGAGCATCTAAATATGTAAAACAAATACTAACAGAATTAAAGGGGGAAATAGACTGCAACACATTCATTTTAGGAGACTTTAACACACCACTCACACCAAAAGACAGATCAACAAGACAGAAAATAAGTAAGGAAACAGGCACTGAACAACACATTAGAACAGATGGACCTAACACATATCTACAGAACAGTCCACCCAAAAGGTAGGATACACATTCTTCTCAAGTGCACATGGAACATTTTCAAGAATAGATCACATACGAGGCCACAAAAAGAGCCTCAGTAAATTAAAAAAGATTGAAATTGTATCAAGCAGCTTCTCAGATGACAATGGTATGGAAATAGAAATAAATTATATAAAGAAAAAAAAGCCTACAAATACATGGAGGCTAAACAAAATGCTTCTAGATAATCATAGATCAATGACAAAATTAAAACAGAGATCAAACAATATATGGAGACAAATGAAAACAACAACTCAACAGCCCAAAACCTGTGGAATGCAGTGAAGGCAGTTCTAAGAGGAAAGTATATAGCAGTACAGGCTTACCTCAAGAAACAAGAGCAATCCCAAATAAACGTCTGAACTCACAATTAAATAAACTATAAAAAGAAGAACAAATGAAGCCCAAAGTCAGTAGAAGGAGGGACATAATAAAGATCATAGCAGAAATAAATAAAATTGAGAATAAAACAATAGAAAGAATCAATGAAACCAGGAGCTTGTTCTTTGAGAAAATAAACAAAAAAAACTTTAGTCAGACTTATCAAGAAAAAAAGAGAGTACACACATAACCAGAATCAGAAATGAAAAGGAGTAATCACAACAGATAGTATGGAAATTCAAATAATTATTAGAGAATACTATGAAAAATTCTATGCCAATAAATTGGACAACTTACAAGAAATGGACAACTCTAGAAAAATACAACTTCCAAGACTGACCCAGGAAGAAATAGAAAATCTGAACAGACCAATTATCAGCAGTGAAATTGAATTGAAAGTAAAAA